GGGCCGGCTAACCAACCGCACTTACCGCAAGCGAATCGACAGCTATGTCAAACGCCAGATCGAGGACATGGACGACCACAGGTAGGCCACGAGGGGAGGGGTTTAGGGCAGGCAAGGCTCCAGGTGGGCGCGGGCGCTCCAGGTTGGGGATGGCGCCTCTGCTGACGCTTTGCCCCGCAGGCCCTTCTTCACCTACTGGCTCACCTTCGTGCACTCGCTCGTCACCATTCTAGCCGTGTGCATCTATGGCGTGGCGCCCGTGGGCTTCTCACAGCACGAGACTGTAGACTCGGTGAGACCGGTGCCCTCCGGGTGCCCTCCCGGCCCCGCCTTGCGAAGTCTGGACTCCCTCCCGCCCACTCTGACGGGAGGGGGCGCGACCGAGCTCTGTCTTACCTTTCCACCTCCCAGGTGCTGCGCAACCGTGGGGTTTACGAGAATGTCAAGTACGTGCAACAGGAGAACTTCTGGATCGGGCCCAGCTCGGTGAGGGCGGGGCAGGGCGGGGCAGGGCGGGGCTGGCGGCTGCCCAGAGGGAAGCCGCTCCGCTGCACAGGTTCCAGAATGCACAGACACATCAGCCCCCAAGATGAAATCTGCTCCTGAAAAAGGACCTAATCAACATCTTGGGACTGAAAACCAGTCCTTGAAATAAAATCTATATACATGTCTATCACGTAAAACAAAGGCCGAAATGAAGAGATTTTTCAACCATACGAAACAACGACCACTGCCCCTCTTATAAAGGATTATTCCAGGATGTGCTTCAGCAAGAAGAGGGAAGGTGTGAGGTATGAAAACTGTAGTAAGTATAGACATTGAGGGAGAAGTAAAAATCTTTTTGTGTCTTTAAAAGAAATTTAGAACTAAAACCCTAGACCACAATAAAAGTATTGAGGGGACTTCCCTGGTGGTCCATTGGTAAAGAACCTGCTTTCCAATGCAGGGACACAGGTTTCTTGGTCAGGGAATTACGATCCCGCATGCCACCAGGAAACAAATCCTGTGTGCCACAACTAAAAAACTTCACACACCACAACAAAGAGATTGTGTGTGGCAATGAAGACCCAGCACAGGCAAAAATATAACAAGTAAACGTTTAAAAAAATATTGAAAAGACTTCAAGGGCAGTTAAAGTGGGGCTGAAGGCTCTGTTTGTGAGAAAGAGAGAAATACTGAGTTACTCAGAGTCGAAAACCTCAGTGCGGTGAAGTGTTCAGACTTAGCTATGATGGGTAACCTCAGTGGGTTCGCCGAGGCCCAGCCGCAGCTGCGCGTCGTCCTCCCCGCAGGAGGCCCTCATTCACCTGGGTGCCAAGTTCTCGCCGTGCATGCGCCAGGACCCTCAGGTGCATAGTTTCATCCATGCTGCGCGCGAGCGCGAGAAGCACTCGGCCTGCTGCGTGCGTAACGACAGGTCGGGTTGTGTGCAGACCTCTGAGGAGGAGTGCTCGGTGAGTACCCACCCACAACTCAGTTCGCACCCCTGTCTGCACCTTGTTTGTTTCCTTGGGACTTCAGGCAGAGCTGGTTGAGTTGTCCTAAAAGCCTGGTTCTCAGCACACGATGCCGGCCGTCTGTGCAAGGCCCCTTGCCTCAGTCTTTCCTTCTTATCCCATCCCTCCTCCATCTCCCGCTGCTCCCCCTGCAGACTGTGTGTCTTTAATTTTATTGTTATTTTTTTAAATGGCTGACCGGCAGGGCTTGGGGGATCTTAGTTTCTGGACGAGGGATCCAACCCAGGCCCTGGCAGTGAAAGTACCAAGTCCTAACCACTGCACCACCAGGGAATTCTGCATGTTTTTAATTTGGGTGTGGCCTTCCCAAAAACTTCCATCTTGTTTTTGGGCACCTGTCATAACTTTATGTAAGTGGTATTGCCTTACTTTTCTCACTAAATTTTAAACAGTTTCATCCAAGTTTTTATCATCTTATGTGGAGCTCCCAGTGTGTACCAGTTGCCTAATTTTGGGCACCGGTGGTTTCTGTTTTCAAGCTAATAGGAGCTATGCAGTTGAACTTACAACAATCTCCCAACATGCGAGCAGTTTCCCGAGTGCAAATTCATGGTGGGGCTGCAGGGCACGCGGGTGTGTAGAGCCAGAGGGAGGAGCTCAGGGTCTCTGATCCTGGCCTCCTGGAGACAGTGGGATGGTGGGCTTTGACCAGGGCTGAGCCTGTGTCCTCCCACAGTCCACGCTGGCAGTGTGGGTGAAGTGGCCCCTGCATCCCAGTGCCCCAGACCTTGCTGGCCAAAAGAGGCGTTACGGCTCTGTCTGCCACCAGGATCCCAGGTCAGTCCTGCTGCGACCCCCACCTCCGTTCCTCCATATCTCCCTTGGGAGTGGGGGTGGCGGTGGAGGGAGGTATCGTTGCTCTCCTTATTGTCCAGTAGGGCGGGAGGGTGCTGAGCCAAGGGCACAGAGCGAGGTCTGACCACATCCTGGGCTCATGCAGGGTGTGTGATGAGCCTTCTTCTGAGGACCCCCATGAGTGGCCAGATGACATCACCAAGTGGCCGGTGAGCTGCTGTGGAGGGGTTGTTTGGGAGTCACCTTACCGTGTCAGGGAGGAATCCACACCTCATCCATCAGTGATGCCAGAGGTCTCCCCCGAGGGACCACCACGTTTTCAGATGCTCTGCCCTGGCCTTCAGCCACCCGGTCCATCCACTACAGCCTCCCTAAGTAGAACCAGGTGGAGCCTTAAGAGTCAAATGACATGATGCCAGTTTGACAGATGCCCTAACTGAGGCCCAGGGTTTGTGACCTGCTTGAGGCCAACAGGGGCCTGTCTCCTACCCTAGGAGCCTGTCCATCTCTGTTCCAACCAAGCATGGTGTGGGCCCCAAGGTTAGGGGTGACCTTGACCCAACTCATCCCCATTTGTGACCCAGATCTGCACCAAAAACAGTGCTGGGAACCACACCAACCACCCGCACATGGACTGTGTCATCACGGGCCGGCCCTGCTGCATCGGCACCAAGGGCAGGTAGGGGTGCCCTGGTCCTGGGCACAGAGCGTTGCTCTGGGGCTGAGGCCTGCTCCTGTATCCAGTCCAAAATGACCCAGGATCCCGGGGGGCTTGGGGTGAGGAAGGGGCCGGACCTATCCAGGCCAACAAGGTGGGCGAGTGGGGCCGAAACCTGAGCCTGGGAGTCCTCCCAGCTCTGGCCTGACCTTCCAGGTGTGAGATCACCTCCCGGGAGTACTGTGACTTCATGAGGGGTTACTTCCACGAGGAGGCCACCCTCTGCTCCCAGGTAGGCCTCTGGGGAGGGCCCCTCCCCATGCTGCGGCCGTGGCGGGCGGCGGGCGCTCACGATCCCTCTGCACAGGTGCACTGCATGGACGACGTGTGTGGGCTCCTGCCCTTCCTCAACCCCGAGGTGCCTGACCAGTTCTACCGCCTGTGGCTGTCCCTCTTCCTGCACGCTGGGCAAGTGACACCACGTGGGCTGTGGGGGCTGGGGGGGGGGTCCCCGGGACCCCAGGGCTGGCTGGTCAGCGCTCCTTGCTGCCCCTTCCCCACAGGGTCCTGCACTGCCTGGTGTCCGTCTGCTTCCAGATGACCGTCCTGCGGGACCTGGAGAAGCTGGCGGGCTGGCACCGTATCGCCATCATCTACCTGCTCAGTGGCGTCACTGGTAACCTGGCTAGCGCCATCTTCCTGCCGTACCGGGCTGAGGTGAGGCCGCCCGCCCCACGTGCCGCCCGGCAGACCCGTGTCCCTGCCATGTCCCATCCCGCCTGGGGCTCCTGTCCTGATCCACTCTGGGCCAAGGGAGGGGGGCGGGCGGCCAGCTCCTACCCACTGGCTCAGGGTCACCTGCACCCCCAGGTGGGCCCTGCCGGCTCGCAGTTTGGCATCCTGGCCTGCCTCTTCGTGGAGCTCTTCCAGAGCTGGCAGATTCTGGCACGGCCCTGGCGCGCCTTCTTCAAGCTGCTGGCTGTGGTGCTCTTCCTCTTCACCTTCGGCCTGCTGCCCTGGATCGACAACTTCGCCCACATCTCGGGCTTCATCAGTGGCCTCTTCCTCTCCTTTGCCTTCCTGCCCTATATCAGCTTCGGCAGGTTTGACCTGTACCGCAAGCGGTGCCAGATCATCGTCTTTCAGCTGGTCTTCCTGGGCCTGCTGGCCGGCCTGGTGGTCCTCTTCTACTTCTACCCCATCCGCTGCGAGTGGTGTGAGTTCCTCACCTGCATCCCCTTCACCGACAAGTTCTGTGAGAAGTACGAGCTGGATGCTCAGCTCCACTGAGCCGGCGGGCGCGGGGCTGTGTGCCCACGGCCGGAGCCAGGCCTGCGGCTCAGGACTCTGCCCAGGAGCCCTGCTTCCCACACACTTTGCTGTGTTCACTGCTGTTGAACCCCTTGTGCTTCCGGGCATTTATCACACTAGTTCCCGAGATTACCTTCTAACTAGCCTTCTGACGACCACCTCATGTGGCCAATAAACAGACCGGGAGCGTTTTAGCTGCCACTAACTCAACCAGACCTGCCACCTCCTTTCTGGTTTCTGGCTGGGTGCTGTGGAAGGACGTCCTTCGGGCCCCAGGCCTCCCACTCACAAGTTCCCAGAACAGGGCATTCATGTCAGGTACACCTCCCAGGGAAGTCCTCGGCCAGGTGCACACACCCTGTCCCCCTTCTTTAGAGTGACTGGTAGGTGACAAATGGACAAGGGCCCAGGAATATCACACTCCCCACGCACACCTGGAAGCAGCCCACAGCAGCCAGGCCACGTCCCTTTCCAGGAGCCAGGCACCCACGGGCTGAAGCTGGAGGCCCTGACCAGGCCGGGCTCACACGCCCTTGTTTCCCACAAGTAGAAACGGGCGGCACTCTGCTGTTACTCCCTCCTCGCTGCAGAGATGACAGGACAGGTGTGTATGGACTGGGGAGTGGGGTGGCCAAGGGCTCAGGTACAGCATCCTGACAGTGTGACCGCCGGCAGGGTCCCCATCTGTGCCCCCCCATGGGTACATGACTTTCCAAACCTCAAAGCAAACAGGGTTTATTCTGTACACAGGGCCAGGCCCATAGCCCTGGGATCAGGGTTCACTTGAGAGTCCAGTGAGTCCAGCTGGGGTCAGGCTCTCTCCCACCCGTCTGGGGACAGGGCACAGTGGCCCAAGGCTTCCTTCTGCCACGGAAGAGCTCAGCCGCCCGCACACAGAGCTGTCCAAGTCTGGAGATTCATTTCTGTCTCAGCTTTTTGATGAAAGACACCTCATCCCGATTCCGGATACCGTAACTGAAAGAGAAGGACAGGCACAGAGACCAGCCTACAGAAGGGCCATCTGTGACTTCTCCTCCGAGGCTTGTGCGGAATGAGAGAGGCAAGGCGGGAAGAGCATGGTGGTGGGGAGGTGAGGAGGGGGCAGGGCCATGCTCCCCCGCCATGCACACTCATAACCCTCTCTCCTAGCTCTGCAGCCTGAACTGCCACAGCTCCTCTGCCTCCTGTCCTCCGGGCAGGGAGGCCTCCAGGGAGTTCCTTGCAGGACAGCCTCAGTCCAGTCAGGGACTCTCTTGGTCTCACACACTCCCCAGGAATGGATTTAAGACCCCTCCTTTCTTAAGAGCCTCTGGAGGAAACCCCGGCCCTATGGCAGAGCCTGGGGAACAAGAGGGCCACAGATCACATAGCTCCCTGTAGCTCAAGACGGAGCCTGAACTTACTCTCGGAGTTTCTTCCGGTCTTCCGTGAGCTTCTCTCCCGCGGAGGTCAAGTGGTATGTCCTCCACACGTAGGACCTACAGATGGGAATTCAGTAAACCACAAGCAGGGTGATTCAGGAGGCTGAGAGCACTCAGGCAAGGAGCCGGCAACAGCTCCTCTAACCAGGGAAGCCACGTCCAGACACACTGGGCACGCCCTAAGGTGTCCTCATGTGCAGCTACCCAGCTGCCCGTGTGGTAATGCAGAGGAGGAGCAGTTGGGGCAGGGCCCGGAGGCACAGGGGCACCTGCCCTTTTTAAAGGCTCGGGACAGGGCGCTCGATGCTCTAGGTTGCATCCTGAGCAAAGCCCAGGAGATGAAAAGGCTAATTCGTCTCCAGCACGTCCTCCCCATCTCCCAGGAAGGGCTGAGGGAGGAGCCGGGGCTCCACTCACCAGCTGATGTGCTGAATGCCTCCCTCGCGCTCCTGCCTGAGCTGCACGTATCTCTGGATGGCCTTCTTCAGGTCCAGGACTGTGGCGTTCTGGACCACAACCACAGCTGCACAAGCGGGAGAAGATCCCCAGCGTCAGGTGGCAAGAGGAGAGCCCAGAAGCTCTGTTGAGTCCTGTTACTTCCCAAGGCTCAAGTCTGGGCAGGTGTGGGTGTGCCCACCAGCCCTGGGCACAGCCCGGAGTTTCCACCCACCAGCCCTGCTAACATCCTCTCCTGTGAAGGTTCAGACTGCTCGGCCTGAGGGGGAGGGCAGCACTTACGCATAACTTCTCCATCCATCTTGCACACTCGGACTGTCATTGCTTGGCCGTATTCTAATGCTATTTGGGAATTAACCTCTTCTAAAGTAACCTGGAAAAGACCAAGGATGGAGGTGGGAGCTCTCTTCACCACCCTAAACAACAAAGGCAGACAAGATGACAGCGTTTATAGAGTTAGGCAGAACCTTCCTGAAGTCTGAGGAGAAAGGAAAACTGGGAAACATTGATCTTTTATTTTTTACTTGAAAATTACATTATTTTTGTTTACCCCAGGCTTCTGCACACCAATTTAGGTTGTTTTTTAAAACACTGCTGACATGTCCTAACTAGTCGGTTTTTCGGTGCCCCTTTTAAATTCCGCGCCCGAGGCCAGAGCCTCGCTCGCCTCCAGGCCCGGCAGGAGCCTAGACGCTCCGCTACGCTCGGAAACGCCTTCCCGAGGCCGAGGCCGCAAACCCCAGGCCCTAGGGTCCGTCCGCGCCCCGACCCCCGCCCGGGGGAACGACGCGGCCCTCGCGCACCTGGATCGGAAGGTCGCAGAGCAGCGGGTCCTGCACAACCATGGCCAGGCCCTCCTGGAACACGTCCACCGCCTCGGAGTGCGGCAGCGCCTCCTCCTCATCCTCCTCGTCGTCCTGCGGCTCCGGCCGCGCAGCGACCCGCGGCTCCTCCAGGGCGCCGGGTTTCCAGCCGGCTCTGCCGGTACAGCCGCTCCGCCCGGCAGAGGAGGGCGCGCACGCGCCGGGACGGCCACCGTAGCCCCGCCTTCGAGGCGTCGGTGGGCGGGGCCACTCGAGGACCAGTGAGAGATGAGCTACTGGGAGCCGGCCCGCCACTGCCCTCCCTGGGGGCGGGGAGGCGGCGTGATTATTGGTGGGCTGGCAGGGCGGGGCGGGAACCAATGGGCGCTCGGAACGCCGGCTCGGCCCTGCCGCGGGCTCTGCCGGGAGCGCCGGGCCGGTGGCGGCCATGCTGCTCTTCTGCCCGGGCTGCGGGAACGGGCTGATCGTCGAGGAGGGGCAGCGCTGCCACCGCTTCGCCTGCAACACCTGCCCCTATGTGCACAACGTCACGCGCAAGGTGGGCGCTCGCAGCGCGGAGGCCGACGCTCTCGCCAGGCGCCCGCGCGACCCGGGCCTTCCCCGCCTCCTTCCCCGCCTGGATCGGCGTCCTGCGGGCCCTGCCGGCCGCCCCGAGGCGCTCCGCCCGCCACGCGCTGCTCCCGGGGCCTGTGCAGCGCTTTTGCGCCCGGGTCGCTCTTCCCCTCGGTATTCGTGTCACTCGTCGCTCGTGTTTTTACCCGAAGGATAATTTAAAATTGCAGCCTCTTTCTCCACCTCGCTCTTCTCCTAATCTTATATTTTTTTAAATAGGTCTCATTTGCCTTCCATTGCGGTTTTTAATTTACTTGTGCGCCTTGTTTGTTAACACTAGGGTATAGGCTGTAGGAGGGCAGGCGTTTTTCAGTTTTTGTTCACTCATGTTCTAGTCTGAACATCTGGAATATATTGGATATTCATTACGGAATGATACGTACTGTGTTATGACTCTTTTACTTTCCACCGATAATGCGTCTTTCCTTTTTAGAACACCTTTAATAATTTTTAGAAGTAGAGCACGCTGGTGTTACCTCATTCTTAATGTTTATATACTGCTCCACCATGTAGCTGTGCTGTGGGAGTTTAGAGTCTCAAATTGTGAAGGGTAACATTTCAAGGACGGCTGTTAAAACTTGGAAAATAGTTAGAAAAACCTCTGTCTGGGAAGAGTGGCTGGGCCATCCTGCCAACTGCTGCACTTTGGCCTTAGTCGTCTTTGGTTCCCTTATTTCAGTGACCAAGTATTGTAGAGGTGGGAGAACAAGAGGGTCACACCAGAGCCCTTTTTCCCTTCCTGGTCTGTTGCTTCATCCAGTCCTCACAGAGTCTTTTCTATGGGGACATCCAATTGTGGATCCTCCTGATTCACAGGGAGATTCCTGTTCTGTGACAGCAGGAACTGGGCTTTTGTTTAGTGTTCGTCCATTCGTGTTGAACGCAGGAAGCAGAGTCTGGGGTGATATTTGAAGGCATGTTTTGGTGACTTGGCTTTGTACTTTTCACTTAGAGTACAAAGTCTGTACTGTAAGGACAGAGAGTCTGAAGACCTGCTGTTTGTTGTTTGTTAGGTAACAAATCGGAAGTATCCAAAGCTGAAAGAAGTGGATGATGTGCTTGGTGGAGCAGCTGCCTGGGAGAATGTTGACTCTACTGCAGGTGAGAGGGAAAACCTTTTCTATTTAAGAGCTGTGGGTAAGGATGAGGCCGCTGGCTGTGTGACTGCATAGCAGAGTCTGTGATGTATCAAGTGGGCTTCTGAGACTAGAAATTATTTTCTTCTCTAATGTATTTGTTATGCAAACAGTATTGGCACAAGCTTTGGAGTAATTCAGACCTGAGTTAGAGTCTCAGGGTGACCTCATATTGATGCTGATTGGAATCATTAAAAAATCAGTCTAAGGATTTTGTTCTAATGTAGTTTTTTTTTAAAGTCAAAGATAGAGTATTAAACTGCCCTAAATATTCTGTAAAGTAAGTATTTGAGTCTTGATTCATTTCTGATAGCAACAGATGTGACTAAGAAAGGAAAGAGAGCCCTAGACACGACCAGTCCAGAGAGGAGGAGGAGCTTAGTGTGATTAGGACTGTCTTTTTACCCCAGAGAGGACCATCCAGATCTGCTCTGTTAAAAATCTCGCATGAGCAGAATTTGTCACTGGGAGGTGAATTATTCACCAAAATGGTGTCTGAGTGTTTGAAAGAGTTTCCATCAAGAGCAAGGTTTTTGAATTGAAATCTCAGTGAAAGTAAAATTAAAAAAGAAAAAAGTACAATCATGATCTCAGGTCTCCTTCCCTCAGTTGTGAGAGCACAGTGGGAATGACACCCCCTTGCAGGAACACCTTGCAGGGCACCCCAGGCAAGGGATACCAGTCGAGCTGGGGAGTGTCTGCTGCTGGGTTTCACGAAACGTACACTTCTAACAAGCACATTGATCACGAGCATCGTTTGTTTTTCTTGTTGCCAGAGCCGTGTCCCAAGTGTGAACATCCTCGAGCCTATTTCATGCAGCTTCAGACCCGCTCTGCAGATGAGCCCATGACCACCTTCTACAAGTGCTGCAACGCTCAGTGTGGACACCGATGGCGGGACTGAGGCCAGGATGGCCCAGCTGCATCAGTGTCTGCGTGCTTGACTGCCCAGGGTGTATTCCCAGCTGCGAGTGTGAACCGTGTGTCCTGAGGGTCTTGGCTGGTGTGGTGGAAAGCTGACCCTTTAAGGGTGGCTGCCCAGGGGGCCAGGAAGTATAGCCCGCCTCCCAGTCAGCAGATTAACTCCTTGATGTACAGGATGTCCAAATTCTGCCCATGCTGTGTGTGGACAGGAGTATCCATAACTGAGTGTCTCCTGTTTAAGGTCCTGTTCTTCCTCTTTTATGTTTGTTGGGCAATTGATATTCTGCTACCATCAGCCAATACTGTTTAATATTTACATTGTTTGTACAACTAATGAAGTAAATCTTATTAGTTTAGTACATTAGATGCCTCTCAGTATTTAACTGTTAATTGCAAACTTATTTAATCAAAGTTTGTCCTGAATATTTAATTAAAGTTAACAGTCTTGTTATCATCTTCTCAGTGTTTTAAATGCCTTAAGAAGTAGACATCAAACGTTAAACCCAAAACCGACTGCTATATTTAGGGCCAAACTGGTTGTAGAATTGCTATGGATTTCTATTTATTATTTGTATTTTTGTTTCTTAGAATTGCAGTACATTTATTAGATTGTATGTTTTTTTAATACTTTCTATGTCCATCTTTCTACTCTAAGGAGAAAAAGGACACTCTAGGCTTACAGGGGCAGGATTTTGGTTATTGATAGATTTGTTTCTTGCTCAGGGCCTCAAATTTAATTGCTTCCAAATCTCTCTCTTTATTTTGTTGAATTATAGTTTACTTCCCTTGTGGCTCAGCTGGTAAAGAATCTGCCTGCAATGTGGGAGATCTGGGTTCAGTCCCTGGGTTGGGAAGATCCCCTGGAGAAGGGAACGGCTACCCACTCCAGTATTGTGGCCTGGAGAATTCCATGGACTGTATAGTCCATGGGATTGCAATGAGTTGGACACGACTGAGCGACTTTATAGTTGACTTACAATGTTGTCTTAGTGTCTGGTGTACAGCGTAATCAGTTATATGTACATGTATATATATAGACACATACACACGAGTGTACATGTATTCATATATGTATACATATTCTTTTTTGTATGTTGTTCCATTATGATTTATTACAGGATTTTGAATATGGTTCCCTGTGCCAAATTGCTTAATAAGTTTCACTTATGAAATAATGGGACTTAAATTTAAGTCTTTTATACAGATTCTTGCTTTTTTCCAACTTTTTATTACTTTTTAGTTTTTGTCCTGTTGTGTAGCATGCAGGATCTTAGTTCCCCATCCAGGGACAGAACCTGTCCCCCTGTATTGAGAGCATGGAGTCTTAACCACCAGTAAAGTCCCAGAGTTTTACTTTTTTGAAACTTCTTGTTTAGTATAACTTGTATAATTTGTATAATTCAGGAAATTATTATTTTTATTATTTTAATTTTATTTATTTGTTTTTGTCTGCGTGCAGTCTTCTTGTTGCGGTGGCTTCTTGTTGCAGAGCATGGGCTCTAGGGTGCGTGGCTCGTGGACTCTAGAGCCCGGCCTCAGCAGTGCTGGCACACAGCCTCAGTTGCCCCAGGCACGTGGGGTCTTCCGGGACTAGGGATTGAACTCATGTCCCCTTCATTGGCAGGTAGATTGTTAACCCCTGGACCACTAGGGAAGTCCACTTTTTGAGAAATTATTAATCTTCTTTTGAAAAGATTATGGACCGCACGTGTATTTTCCTGTTAGAATGCGTTGACCAGATCTTGAGTGCATTGTCTGCAGCTGTTTCTGTTGCGGAACAGTTTGCACTGTTTTTGCAAAGGTGTGTTTGTCCTGGGGTGTTACTTTAGTGTCTTCCTATGCCATCAGTTATGTTTCCTCAGGGGTCTGTTCTCGTTTTCACTTGTTCTTGGGGGCAGCCTGGTCAGCGGTGAAGGCCACGCGCTGTGAAGTTAGCCTGCCTGCCTGTCAGCTGCTGAACCTCTTTCATTTTCTTCTGTGTAAAACGAAGATGGTAATAGTCTATTTTGGGGGTTCACAACTTTTTCTGTAAAGAGTCAGTATTTTGGGTTTTGTGGGTCAAGAGTCAGAATCAAGAAATATGCAAGGAAGCGAGCTCTCACAGAGAAGCTCAGAATGTAACCCTGTGGTGTTTGTTACACAAGTCCCTTGATGAAATGAATGCACACCATTTTGTGTAACCGAGTTCATGTTTCTTGTTAAAGTTGCACGTGTGCATCTCCTCACCCTGGTTCAGGGCGGGGGGCAGATGCAGGGCACTGTGACGTTGCTGATGGGTCATTAGCTGCCGGTGGTGAGAGACACAGGTGTTGTCCTCAGCGTGTTTGCCGGTGAGCAATGCAGTGACGAGTTACAGGCTGTGGACATGTTCTCCACAAGGCTGCCAACTGTGTGACCTCGCGCTGCACCTGTGCTCACCCGGCAGCAGGTTCCAGCTGCCCGTCTCCTGAGCTCACGTTTTCTCGGCTTTGCAAGTGCTCCCACGTGAGTTGCTAGTTGCTCCCTTGATCTGTGCCCAGAAGCTCATTCTTCAGTCCCTTCCCCGCTCAGCATTGAGGCATCGATGCCTCGCAGAATTGGCAGAGGGCTGGGTCCAGTGACGTTTGGAGCTGTTGAGAGCCGAGGAAAGGCGCTTCAGGTTATCTGCCTTATTTTTAATTCACGTGACGTTGCTCCCAGTGTCCTTAGCTTTCAGAACAGCTGTTCTTGACCAAAAACGGATGGTCTTAAGTGCATCTCGTCTGGACACACTTCCTCAGCTCTGTGATCAGACACAGTTAAGTCACCCTCAGTGGCTTTCCTTCCTGGGTTAACGACGGGTCCCTGGGAAACTTAATTCCGTTGGCTCATTTTTATTTTTGTGACGGAATTCTGCTTTGTGTTGAGACTCATGCCAGAGGAGCGCTCAGCCTGGTGATGTTGACCATTGTGGTGTCGCTGCACGAAACTCCTGCCATCCAGCTCGCTGACACGACAGCTCACACTACACTGCGCCTTAAAGACAAGGCGTTCGGAGCCCTGTCTTCTTACTGTGACATGACGGGTGTGCAGTGTAAGCAAGCCAGCAGAAGTGTTGTGAAACACTGTGGCCTTGAAATGCTGGTACGATCTCTGCTGAGCCATGAGCGGGCAGGGCAGGGCTCAAAGCCCTGTGACCAGTATCCCGCCGTCGTGCAGGAGGGCAGCTGCAGACAGCACACAGGCGGTGTTCCAGAAGGTGGGCCCTGACATTTGAATTTCATAGTCATTCCACGCGGCATGTAATTCATTTTTTCCTCAACCATTTGAAAATATACAAACTTATTATTTATTTATTAAATTTATCTATGGCCTTGAGGCGCAGCACGTGAGATCTCGGTTCCCCGACTAGAGCGAACCTGGGCGCAGGGCAGTGAAAGCGCAGAGTCCTAACCACTGGACCACCTGCACATTTTCTGTTTTAACTGGTTTTAGCTCACAAGTTTTTTAACAGGGGGGCGAGCTTGCCCTGTGGCTGGTCTTCCTCGTCACGTATGAGGATGTATGTAGCTCAGTGTGTCCCATCCTTAGGGCCTGTCTGACCAGCGGTGCTTGCTATTCTGTGCTTGTCTTTCAAGGGGCTGGGTTTCGGGAGATACTTAGTCGCCCTGGTTGTATTGTCTTTGTGTCTGAGGTTTTCCCTCCATCTGCGGAATTTGCTTTTCTGTTTATATCTGTATGTTATGACCAACCTAGACAGCGTATTAAAAAGCAGAGACATTACTTTGCCTACAAGGGTCTGTCCAGTTAAAGCTATGGTTTTTCCAGTGGTCATGTATGGATGTGAGAGTTAGACTGTAAAGAAAGCTGAGCACCAACGAATTGATGCTTTTGAACTGTGGTGTTGGAGAAGACTCTTGAGAGTCCCTTGGACTGCAAGGAGACCCATTCAGTCCATCCTAAAGGACATCAGTCCTGAATATTCATTGGAAGGACTGATGCTGAAGCTGAAACTCCAATACTTTGGCCACCTGATGTGAAGAACTGACTCATTTGAAAAGCTGGGAAGGATTGAAGGCAGGAGGAGAAGGGGATGACAGAGGATAAGATGGTTGGATGGTATCACCGACTCAATGGACATGAGTTTCAGTAAGCTTCAGGAGTTGGTGATGGACAGGGAGGCCTGGTGTGCTGCAGTCCATGGGGTCACAAAGGGTTGGGCACAACTGAACAATTGAACTGAACTGTGTGTTATGGGAGGTGGTGGGGTGCCAGGCTGTGGCATCGGAACAATTGCTGGGCAGAGGAGGTGGCCTTCTTCACGCACCTCAGTGTGCATGTCTGTGACATGCTCTCCTGTGGGTTGTGTGCGGGTGGTGTGTGGTCTGTTGGTCTCAAGGGAGTGAGTTCTAGCCTGAGAGAGAAGGAAGCTCTCTTGATAAGGATACTAGGGAAGGGATGGCACCAGTGAGTATAAAAGTGTGTAAGGGGCCAAGCTGATTAACATTTATTTGTTAGAAGTATGATCTTGTCCCTGGTCATTCCTAAGGTGTGTCATGGATTTGAGCCTCTGATGCCATCTTGCTCTGGGTACTGGTTTCTCCAACTCCAGAGAGCTGCAGCTCTGGCGTCTCCAGATCTCCCCTCAGCTGGGTTAATGCACAGAACAGACACATAAAAACACACTTATATGTAAACTCAGGCACAGGGGCACGCTAAAGTGCAACCTTATTTGGCACCCCTAAGAACGCACAGTCAATAAGTTTTTGAAAAGATGCTTATCTTTACTGATAACCAAGGAAGTGCAAGACAACACTGAAACGTCTTTGCCTATCAGATTGGCAAAGATTTAAAAGACTGCTATCAAATGCAATTGGTGAGGGCTGCAGGCATCCTTACATGTCTGATGGGAGCAGAAGTCTGTGTATTTCTGGGGGGCCACTTGGCAGCATTTGTTTTGAGGTCTTAAGCCTGACAGGTTGCCCCAGCCTGTTTTTTTTTGTATAGCACTCATCCTGGTGATTAGAGATCCAGGCCTGGAATTACTCATTTAAAATGGCATATTTACACCAGAAAGTAATGCAGTGTTGTATGTCCATTATATATACATCTATATATATATATATATGTCCATTAAATTGAAATAGCGGATGTAGGCAATAGTGAAATTGTCCACCAACAGGATTATTAAACCATGGTCTGTACCACCAGTAAAGGCGTGAGGTAGGTTTTTATGTGCTTCTCTGAAAAGAATTTGAAAAGAGCTGAGCAACGAGCAGGCCGTTAAACGAGCGTTTGCTGGAACGTAGACGTGGTCTGGAGGGACTTGTGCCCGACTTCCCACGGGGCGGGGGCAGGGGCTCCCATCTTTTATTTCCTTCCTTAAGCGAGCCTGCAGTACTGTTAGGTTTGACTCCCTCTCCACCCACCCCTGTGCTCAGGGATTGCCAAGATGCAATCTGCCTGGGAGGCAGGCGCTGCTCTGAGCCAGTTCAGTGAGCAGCCCTGATCACCCAGCAATCGATGGACGGTCCCCAGGCCCACGTGTGGCAGCCTGCCGTCCCTGGGGGTGGAAGGTGGGGTTTATGGTGGGTGCTGGTCCCCTCTCGCCCCCCTTAGGCCAGCCGCCGCGCTCTGTGCTCGTGGTTTCAGATGTGGGCGGCCTGTGTCAGCCTCCCGCGCTAGGCTCACGTCACTGGTCGGTGCAGTTATCTCCTGAATCAGGCAGAGGGACTTTGCTGCAAGTGCAGGGGCGGCTGGGTGACAAGCCACCTGCAGGTCTCGGGAGCATCACGCCTGCCATGGGCGCCGGCAGCTGCATCTGGAGAGGTGAGTGTCGCCTGGTCAAGTGAGTGTCTCTACTGCCCAAGTCAGCGTGGACACTGGGGGACGGGGCAGGTGGCCCGCCAGCCCCGAGCTCAGGAGGAGCGTGAGGACCACGTTCAGAAGGGCGGCAGGGCGTTTGGGAGGCCACCCTGGTTTATCAACTCTGTCCTGTCTCGGGCATGTCCTGGCTACAGACATGTGCTGTAGGAGTGGCGGGTTTCCTGGCCTGGCCTGTAAGCATCGTGGGTGCCACTGGGCAGAGGGGAGGACGCTGAGCTCGTCAGGTGGAGTTAGCGGTAGGGTGAGGGCCAGGGTCGTTCCTGCCCTCTTGGGGGCAGCACGTGGGCATTCTAGGGTCAGGTGGCCTCAGCCTGGACGACTGTGAGTGGAGACGGGGTTCAGTCCTGGGGCTGGTAAAGCCCCTGCTCTCACCCATGCCTTTGAGAGGCTTTAGGTCTGAAGAGGAGTCTGTGGACTCCCCCTGGGACCTGTGGGCAGGGCAGCAGGAGAGGGCAGGCTTCCAGGAGGGCTACGCAACTAAGAAGACAGGGAGGAAGAGGGCTCCAGAACCCCCTCCCAGGGCCCCAAGGCGTTAACGTGATTTTCTCCAGGCAAGGGCGGGTCTGGGGGAGGGTTGGGATGTCTCTTCAGTTGGGAGCAGGTGGGAGGGCACAGCATGAATCAGACGCCCTGTGGAAGCCTGATGCCAGAACTGCTGACATCCAGTGCAGGCTGCTGGCGGGGCCGGGTGGGTGCGGGTGGAGCAGACCGCCCCACCCCGTCGAACCCCAGGCCGGTGTCCGCATCCTTCCAGCCACGCCGTGGATGGAAGGCAGCGACGGGGGTGTGGGGGGAGAGTGAGGGGCTCGTCCCGAGGCCCTCTGTCCCTCCCGTTCCCAGCCTCAGCACCTCCCGCCCTTTGTCCTGGCTCCTGCTCTCTGGGCCCCGTCCACCCCAGGCCCCCTGCATCCCGCCCTCACCTCGCCCTGACTCTGGCCTGGCCTTTCTGTGTCCCAGGACATCCACTGCCCTGAGGCAGGTGCCTGTCCGGCTCGGCCGTCTCAGGACAGGTGGCGAGTGCGCCTTCTTGGCGGCCGGCCTCCCTGCCCTGACGGCCCCACTCCCTGCCCTTGCCCAGCAGGGTCCTCGGCCCTTTGCCCTGGGGTGCTGGGTTGCCGTGGGCGCTGAGTCTCAGGCCCACCTCCCCCCGGTCCAAGCTGCCTCGGGAGCCAGCCTCTGGATTCCATCTTCCCATCCCAGCAGTGAGGGCAGTGGTGAACCAGTGTCATTTCAACCACAGCCTCCATCCCACCCCCTGCATCTGCTACCTTCTGGGATGGGCAGGGAGAGTAACGGGGTACCCCTCTTTCCCCATGAAAAGATACAGACTGTGTGAAAGGGGACAGGAAGTGGGTGAAGCCAATCTGGAGGGTGTGGTGCAATGTATAAACCCCGCCCTGCGGGCATCTCACCTGGTGAGGCCTGGGGGAACCGACCCAGGGAGGTCCTGGCAGGGGTCCAGCTGCATGGCAGCCTATGACTTCATGGCAGGCCGGGCTGGTGGGCTGTGGGCTGGTGGTCATTTGGCCAGACCTTGATGCCGAGGCCAGGGAGGAAACAGGGTTGGGAAAAGGGGCTGGAGCGCTGTGTGCTGAAGGCTGTGTCCAAGTGGGAAGGGACAAGCCGGGTGGGGATGTCGGCCCGGCCCCTCGCAGGACTACGTCGCAGCTGCCCCGAGACCTGTCTCCTCTGGGTGTGATTGGGCTTCCCCGGGGCCATCCCGGCACCTCTTCCAGGACCAGGGAGTAGCTGCTGGGCTTCCTACCCGACCTGGCCCAGTGTCTGCTGTCAAGGATGGGGCGGCCCTGCCTCAAGGGCGGGGCAGGCTTGCAGGCTTGTGTAGAAACTAGGGGGATGTGTGCCCAGTCCTGGAGACGGTGCCCCTGATCCAGCCAGCCTGGGGTCTCTGGCCCTCGGCATGCTCCCGTTTGGAGCACAGTGCTGGCGCCGCCCCGCCCGACTCGCTGGGTGTGGACGGGAGCTCTGAGCGGAGGGAGCGTGGGGCCTCCCCGCAGATGACTGTGGGCTGCTTGCCCTGCCCACCTCTCCCCGGGGTGGCTCCAGGCCTGCCACTTGGCACGAGTGTCCTGTGCGGGTCTGTCCTCCTCACGCCTGACCCGGGGGCCGGCTGAGCTAGGAGCCGCCCACTCCATGCTCCTGAGGCAGCCTGTGGCCCTGCTGGCCCAGGTCTCACAGATGCAGTCGTCCCTCCATGCTGTGGCTATGGCTGACCACGCTGGGGTCCGGGCCAGCTCTTGCCTGCAGTGGCAGCTGTGCCCCTGCGTCCTTAGTGCCCCCTGCCCCCCACATCCTAAGTCCCCCTGCCCCCCACATCCTAAGTGCCCCTTCCCCCCACATCCTAAGTGCCTCCTGCCCCCACATCCTAAGTGCCCTCTACCCCCCACATCCTAAGTGCCCCATTTCCCCCACATCCTAAGTGCCCCCCGCCCCCCACCCCCTGCATCCTGGTGCTCCTCTGACCCCGTCTCAGGCTCCCTGAGAGCTGGTTCCCTCCACCCGTGACTGCCCTGGCGGTTTGTGGCAGGTGATGCTTTAGTCCAGGGGCGGGTGATGTCTTCCTGCCTGTTGACCCGACAGGGATCTGTCCTGTGGGTCCCTGAAGAGGCTGTGGGGGGCGGGGGAGGGCGTCTGCTGCTGGGAGAGTGGGTGCGGGCTCTGAGTGCTTCCGTGCTGTGGTCTGTGCTTGTCTGATGCTTTTCTGAGTCCTTATCACCCATCAGGCTTGCATAACCAGGCTGGCCCTGCTTCCTGCGAAGGAGCTATCAGTGTAATATCTGGGGCTGCAAAAATGGGGTGACAGGGCGTCAGCAGCCTGCTCACCCTAAGGTACTTCATTGCACACAGCCCCCTGCACTAGGAGTCCTGCCCCAGGGTGCTGTCCTCTGTAGGGCTCCTCGGGATGGACCTGTGGCAGACAGTGTGGGAGGTGCTGGCGAGCGTGTGGACACCCGCTGCCTTTCCTCTGCTCTCCTGGGGCAGAGCCCTGGGATCAGCTCCTGGTCGGGGACCAGGGATCACGCCCCGCCTCTCATGGCTCTGGTGGGAGCTCACGTGGATGATACAGCTTGCACAGTCGGCCCAGGTGTGACACCAGGGGCTCCAGTAGATCTGTCCTTCTGTTGTCATCCACAACCATGCTCCCCCAGCCCTGCCTCCCCTGTGGGAGGGACCTGGGGCCCAGGCTCGGAGTGTTGCCTGCTGGACAGACCTGGACACGTGGCTGATTGCGAGGCCAGCGACCTGGGGGGCCTGAGTTTGAGCTCCTGCTGGTGCCGCTCCCCTGCGGGCTCAGCCTCCTTCACGGGGTAGGATGAGGGGGCAGGTGGTGACTTGCTTGAAGTGCCCCCCGACAGTGCCACCTCGGGGGGGTGCTCTCTACATGGCGCCTCAGCCCAGCCTGTTCCAGGTTGGACCTTGCAGAGTGAAGTTCTGATGCGAGAGGCGGGCACTTGCTTCCTGCTCTGCGCCTGGCTCGGCCTGGGGGTCCCTGTCCTGGGGGACAGAGGAGGTAAGGGCTGGCTCAGGGTTCAGGGGGTGTGGGTGCAGAGCGTGGCAGGGTCTGGGCTGCTGGTGCCGGTCTTCCGCAGACCATTTGGAGCTTCGGCCCCACCCGAGGCGCACGGTCAAAGCCCGTCCCCTCGGGGCGCCCAGCCCCGCCGTGGTCACCTTGGGGCTCCTTCTCTCAGGCCTGCCCTATCAGAGGGGGTCAGTGCTAGGCCCTTCCCTGACCCTGCCCCTGCCCTGAGGCAGCCACGGTGGACTTGCCACGGTCGCTGTTCCCAGGGCCAGGGCCTGGGGCTTTCACCTGCTACAATAACAACATCCTCAGGATTGAGTGCCGCTGGCCTGGCCCAGCGCCAGGCCAGGGAGCCGGCTCCTGGCTGCTCTTCACCAGGTGAGGCTGGAGGGCAGGGCGGGCAGGGGGCCGGAGGGGGGGCCATGGTCCCTTGGTGCCCACGTGCGTCCTTTCCAGCAACCTCGCGCTGGGCAGCGAGCACAAGTGTGTCTTCTGGGCTGGCGTTTGCACCGTGGAGCTGCCACCCGAGGAGGTCCTTGTGCCTGCTGACAACTTCACCATCACCTTCCACCGGCACGTCTCTGGGAAGGAGCAGGTCAGCCTGGTGGATCCACAGTATCTGCCCCGGAGACACGGTGAGACCTGGGTCGGGCATGTTGATGGGGAACACCCTGATCACAGAGCCCACCGCCCATAACCCCCGCCACCCAGTCAGTGCTCCCGGTCCCTGCGGACAGATCCAGGGCTTGCAGCAGGTGGGGCCTGGGGGGCGGGGGGCGGGCCCACTGGTTGCCGGGGGGCTCGGGTCTGGAGGAGGATGGAGGCACAGGGCTTTGAGTCGGGGCAGGAGCTGCAGCGTGAGCCCCTTGAAAGGCACTTCAGGCGAACCAGGAAGAACGTGCAGCAGCTGCTTAGATTTGAGACATGCCTTCGCTGCCTTGGGTTGGAGGAAGTCATAGCTGTCTCGTCCCACCTGGGCCTTCTCTGGACCAGTCTCCCAGTGAGGCCTTGCTCTGAGAGGGCCTCGGTCACACCCTCATCTTTCCCGGGAATCTTTCTGATCCCAAGTCTCGGACGTGCTGACCCACACACCCTCACGTGGCTTTGTACTGTTTCAGTGAAGCTGGACCCCCCCTTGGACTTGCAGAGCAACGTCAGCTCTGAGCACTGTGTCCTGACCTGGAGCATCAGTCCTGCCTTGGAGCCGCTGGCCACGCTCCTCAGCTATGAGCTGGCCTTCAAGAGGCAGGAGGAAGCCTGGGAGGTAAAACTGGGTCGCCCACCCTGGGTCTCTCCTGGAAGCAACAGGAGACGCTGCTCTTCCCACCCAGGGTGCTCTCACCTTGGAATTACGAGGAAGGCAGTGATCAGAGCCAAGGCTATGTGAGTGCAGTGTGTGTGTGTGCGCACGTGTTCACAGGGCCTGCCTATGTGGATGAGTGTGCACGCAAGTGAATGGACGTACGCGTGCGGACAGGTGCAGTGTGCCCGTGTGCGTGTCCTCGAGGGCTGACGACCCAGTCTCACCACCAGCACCTCCTGGCTGTCCTTGTCCCCAGTGGGCTCGGCACAAGGATCACATCGTTGGGGTGACCTGGCTCAAACTTGAAGCTGCCGAGTTGGACCCCGGTTCTGCCTATGAGGCCCGGCTGCGCGTCCAGATGGCCACCCTAGAGGGCGAGGTGGCGGAGGAGGAGCAATATGACGGCGTGTGGAGTGACTGGAGCCAGCCTGCCTGCTTTGCCACCCCCCCGAGACGAGGTGGGCACTGCCGTGGCCGCTGCCCCCAGGGTCTGGGTGGGGCCCCTGCCTGCCTCCGAGTGTCCCACCTTCCCCCCTCCTACCCCCTCTCCCTGAGGTGGTCAACAGGGTCAGCTTGGGGTTCTCCCGGGAGTGACTGTGGCCCCAGGCCCCGCTGCTGCCCATGGAGCCAGGTGTGGCCTCGTCTGCTTCGGGTGGCCTGGCTGACCCCGTGGATGGAGGTCCTGAAGGGTCGCAGACCCTGTTGACCCTGTGGATGGAAAAGGCGAGGCTCAGGGGTGGGTGCCTCACCAAGGTGCTCTTGCATGCATGAAACAAACCTCCAGGGCCTGTCACGTACTTTCCCTGTGGCCCAGGTGCTTGCCTGGATGCCTTGCCAGGCGAGTCAGAGGGACACAGCCCTGGTCCTTCTCGCCGCAGGTGGCCTGGTCCCTGCTCTGGGGCAGGCCGACAGCACCCTGGTCGCTGTGTCCATCTTCCTCCTGCTGAGCAGCCTGACCTACTTACTGTTCAAACTGTCGCCCAGGTGGGTAGCCAGGGGTGTGTGTGAGAGCATGTGCTTATGTGCGTGTGATCGTGTGTGGGAGCGTGTGCTTGTGTGTGTGTGATCGTGTGTGTGTGTTTGGGCATGGGGTCAACAGTGCGTTGAAGGTCCAAACCTGCAGCCCCTCCCCGCATGCTCCTGGATGGGGAGGGGCTTCAGGCCTCTGCCCTGGACCAGTGGGGAGTTCCCAAGTTGCCACATGCATGGGGGTGGCAGGCAGTGTGTTCCCAAAGAGCCCTGGAGGGACCCAGAGGCACCGGGCTGTGGTCTGAGCTCTGTCTCCTGCCTCTGGAGGTGTCAGCCCGTTGCCTGGTGTGGGGACAGTGCTGGGCGTCTGGTTTCCATGGGCCCCTGTCCCCGGCCCTGGGGGATGCTGCTGAGATCCAGATGAACGCAGAGGCCCCCCTGAAACAAGCCATCACATGGTCAGGTGACAGGGGTGCAGGGCTGGCCCCACAGGAGGCTGGCCGGGTGTGGACAGGGAGCAGAGAGGGTGAGAGGCGGCTGGACAGAGAAACCCTGGGTGAGGGAGGGGTCAGACTTTTCCTTGGGTCAAAGGAAAACCCTTGAAGCCTGGCCACACGTGATGTGACCTGGCTGATGTTTTGAGAGAGGAACTTCATGGTACAAGTGAGGAGGAGGCCTGCGGGGCCTCCAGCAGTGGTGGAGACGGAGGCAGGTGTGGGAGCTGGCAGGAGGAGCAGAGATGGAGCAAAGCGGAGGGAAGTGCCAGGGTCTCAGGAACAGAAACTGATGGGATGTGCGGGTGCATGTGACGCGACCTGTTGGCCCCTGAGGCCAGCCCTGGTGTGGGGAATCCGGCCAGGCCCCTGGGGAGGCTGCTGAGGTTGACCTGCACCTGCTGGGCTGGAGCCCAGTGTGCCGTCCTCAGGGGAGGACCACTGGGTCCTGGGTGGGTAGATGCTCAGGAAGAAATCAAGCGGGCTTCCTGGAGGTGCTGTCTCCCTCTCAGACTGAGGACAAAGCTGGGCAGCTCCATTGCATGGCTTGGTATAACTCAGTTCTGTGGGGTCACCTGCGCGGGGGCCATAGGTGCCAGGTGTCAGACCTGGACCCAGTGAGGGGAGAGCGCACATGGGGCAGGGACAGGCCTGCTGCCAGAAGGAGCCGAGGTCCCTGCAGTGACTGCTGGAGCGGGGCTGTGAGGAGCCCCTGGCCAGGTCTCTGCAGCCTCTGACTGCTGTCTCCTGGCTGCAGGATGAAGACAGCCTTGTACCAGGACGTGCCATCCCCAGGCCCATTCTTCCAGCCTCTGTACAGCGTGCACAACGGGGACTTCCAGGTTTGTGATCCTGCGGGCCAGGGCTGGGGGTGGGGCCGGGGTGCCCAGATGTCCGGCCTACCCAGGATGTGGGCTTGGGGGAGGCTTGGGGGCCTCTGTCAGTGCTTTGAGCTTTTTTAGTGTATACAGTGGCCTGTAGAGTATATATATAGATATACACACACTGTGACTCAAATGGGCAAGAAGAAAATCAGCTTTGTCGTCTTGCTGAGTTCTTTTTCCTCTTGTGTCTCTGATTTCATTGCTGATGGAAAAGTGTGAAGATTCTTGTGACATTGCCTCTTCTGGTTTGCAGCAGCCCTTTGAGGTGCCAGCTCGGGGGGCTGTGTCTTCTGCTGCCCTGGGGCCGTCCCTGGTCCCTGGGCTACTCTGGTGGCCACTGTGGAGGGCCTGGCCCCTCCAGGCCCGCTGGGTGGTTGTGATGAGTTGATCTCCCACCCCCGACATGCTGCCTTTGTGGGCTCTCACAGGCCATGCTGAGGACAGCCTGGTGGCCCGCGGTTCCTGCTGCTGGCCGGGTGCCCCTGCCCCACAGGCGGAAGGAGCAGCAGGGGAGCTCTACGGTGGTCGCTGGTGCCACTGTCTCAGGCCCCTTGCTTTGTCAGAGGATGTCTGGGGGTCTGCTGACCGGCTCTGCCCGGGTTCTCCCTGCTGGCCCTGCACGGCTGGGTTCCGCCTGGCCCTTTTCTCTCTTAACAGAAAGTATGGTTTTTAAGGTTGTCATCGAGAGAGACGATTTGGAGCTTAAAGCTGAGCCCTTGATCAGGGCTGTGGGGCAAAGGTTACCCTGAGCTCCCCTTCTGGGCTGTAGGCACCCAGCCCCTTGCCTGTAGAACCACAGGAGCTGCCGGGGGTTAGTTAGACCCCCCAGGACGTGGTCTGGAGCCATGGACTGGCTCTCCGATGGAAGGTGTGTATGCTGCACTCGATGGAGATCCCTGGCCCCATGTAGGAAACAGCTTCTTAAAAAATTCTTTTCCATGATGGTTGGTCATAGGGTATTGGCTCTACAAGAGGACCTTGCTGTTTATCCGTCGTGTATGTTAGTTTGTGTCTGCTAGCCCCAAGCTCCCAGAATATCTCTCCCCCACCCCCTTGGCAATCACAAGTGTCTTCTATGTCCAGGAGCCTGTTTCTGTTTTGTAGACATGTTCACTTGTGTCGTATAAGTGATCTCACATGGTATTTGTCTTTGTCTGACTTATTTCACTTAGTATGATAATCTCTGATTACAACCGTGTTGCTGCAAATGGCATTATTTCATTCTTTTTATGGCTGAGTTATATTCCATTGTGCGTGTGTGTACACATACACACACACACACATCTTCTTTATCCATTCACATATTGATGGACATTTAGATTGTTTCTATGTCTTGGCTATTGTGCATAATACTTCAGTGAACATTGAAGTACATGTATCTTTTTTAAAAAAATTATATATTTTTAATTGGAGGGTAGTTGTTTTACAATATTGTGTTGGTTTCAGTTATATATGTATATATGTATATATGTATGTATGTATGTATGTATGCATGTCCCTTACCTCTTGAAACTCCCTCACATCTCCCACCCCTCTAGGTTGTCACAGAGCATCAGATTTGAGCTCCCTGCCTCATATAGCAAAGTTCTACCAGCTGTCTAATTTTACACATGGTGATGCATGTATCTTTTTGAATTAGAATTTTGTCTGGATATATGCCCAGGTGTGGGATTGCTGGATCATATGGTAGCTCTGTTTTTTTCTTTTAAGGAGCATCCATACAGTTTTCTGCAGTGGATCACCAGTTTATTCCCACTAACAGTGTAGGAGGGTTCCCTTTTCTCTACACCGTCTTCAGAATGTATTGCTTGTTTTACTTATTTATGTATTTTTGTTTGTGCTGGGTCCTTGTTGCTGTGTGTGTGCTTTCTCTGGTTGTGGTGAGCGAGGACTACTCTCTGTGGCTGTGTGCAGGCTTCTCCTTGCAGTGACGTCTCTTGTGGGGAGCATGAGCTCTAGGCCTGTGGGCTTCTGTACTCACAGCACGTGGGCTCAGTAGTTGTGATGCACAGGCTTAGTTGCTCCACGGCACGTGCGATCTTCCTGGACCAGGGATCGAACCCACGTCCTCTGTATTGGCAGGTGGATTCTTATCCACTGTACCACCAGGGAAGCCCTGTTTGTAGTTTTTAATGATGGTCATTCTGACCTGTGTGAGATGGTACCTCATTGTAGTTTCTATTTGCATTTCTCTAATAATTACTGATGGCAAGCATTGTTTCATGTAACTCTTGGCCATTTGTGTTTCTTCTTTGGAGAAATGTCTTTTTCAGTCTTTCGCCCATTTTTTGATTTTTTCTTTTGTTGATGTTGTTAGTGAGTTGTATGAGCTGTTTGTATATTTTAAAAATTAATCCCTTGTTGGTCACATTGTTTGCAAATATTTTCTCCTAGTATGTATGTTGTCTTTTCATTTTGTTTATGGTTTCCTTTGTTGTGGAAAAGCTTGTTAGATTGATTAGGTTGCATTTGCTTATTTTTATTTCTGTTGCCTTGGGAGACCTGTGAAAACTTTAGTATGATTTATGTTAGGGAATGTTTTGCCTATGTTCTCTTCTAGGAGTCTTATGGTGACATGTCTTATGTTTAGATCTTTAAGTCATTTTGAATTTTTTTGTGTGTGCTGGTGAAAGGGAGTGTTCTAACTATTTTTGTGTGTGCATGGTGAAAGGGAGTGTTCTAACTTCGTTGATTTATATGTAGAAACAGCTTCCTTTTGAAGGTGGGGGGCCTCCTGTGGTCCCACAGAGGGGTCCAGGTCTGCTGACCTTGGCCCAGAGGTGCTAGGCCCAACAGCACCGCGTGTGTGCATGTGTTTGTGTGTGTGTGTGTGGGTAGTGGGGTTGGGGTGAGGGGCCCGTATCTACACTCTGGCTTAGGCCTCTGTGAGCCCCGGGCCCTGTGCAGGGGGGGGAGGAAGGGGGCCTGTGCCGAGGCTGGGCTGGCCCATGGCGGGTGGACAGGGCGCTCTGGGCCTCTGGGTGTGGCTGTCTGGAGAGCTTTGTGGAGAAGGGGCGGCTGTTCCCATGCTGAGTCCTGAACACGCCTCCTGAGGCCTGCCCTCCTCCTGAACACGCCTCCTGAGGCCTGCCTTCCTCCTGTTGCTCTGTTCTAGACCTGGATAGGGGCCTGCGGAGCCGGCCCACAGGCAGGCCGGGACTGTGTTGGCCCCCCACGAGGAGCCCTCCTGGAGGCCCGAGTCCGGGAGGCCGTTGCTTTGCTGCACTGTGACCCAGCGGACGCCTGGCTGTCGGCGGGCCTGGAGGAGGAGGTCGGCCCTGGGCCCGGGCTCCCAGCAGGTGTGCTGCCAGCGGGACACGGGGAGCAGGCGGCGCCGTCGCCCGCCTACCTGCCTCAGGAGGACCGGGCCTCTGCCTCTGCCGGCCACCCCTGGCTGGCGCCCCCCCAGTGTGAGGGTAGCAGCGGTGACTACTGCGCCCTGGACTGCTCTGTGGGGAGCTGACCCCTGCCTTCCTGGGAAGCGTGGAGCTCTGCGCCCCCCCACCACACCGCCGCCTCCCCCACCCCTCATGGCATTTTCTGTGACTGGTCGAGCCTGGACTCCCAGCCGGGAGGTGCTGTGTGGACAGGCCCGCGGTGCTGCAGCCTGTCCATCCTGCAGCTCATGGACCAGCGGCCCTGGAGCTGACCTGTGACTGGCACTGGACCTCCTGCGCAGGGCCACCCATGTGGTGGTCAGGTGTCGGGTCTGGGTGGAGGCAGGTGGGCTCTCCCCCCACCCCACACCTGTGGGCCTGGGCCTCTGCCCTCAGTGTCCTGCCATCCTGGTCCCCATCCACCATTCTCCTCCCTGCTTCCGGGCTTCACCCCAGGCCCCTCGGAGAAGCGAGGTGTTGGCCCCACAGCCTGTTCTGCCCTCAGCCCCTTGAGAGGCCAGTCTGGGCCCCGTGGACACAGGTGAGACGCAGCGATGAGGCCGAGGGTCCGCTTTCTGTGCCTCCCTGGGCTCCCTCCCCTACCGAGATTAAAAGGGTCGAATGGCTGTTTCAAATTTCTGATGGCTGGGGGGCGGGCCCAGACGACATAGAGGGGAGCTGGGGTCTGCTGCTCGGGGTTTCTGGGGGTGCTCAGTGACCAGCTCAGGGAGGCCCCCCGCTCCTCCTCCTCCTCATCCTGCCAGGGGCCCCAGGAAGCTGCGAGCTATGGCCAGAGCCCCAAGGGTCAGGGCCAGAGTGACCGCCTGCCATGGCCTTGGTCTGTGAAGGGCCCTGCCTGTCACCTTCTCCGTGGTCTGGAGAAAGGGGGGCAGGGCAGAGGGCGCCTGTCTGTCCCCCGGTGCTGCTGCAGCAGCGTACCACAAGCTGGGTGGCTTAGAACAGCAGAAATTCATGGTCTCGCAGTTCTGGGGGCCGGAAGTGTGAAATCACAGTGTTGGCGGGGCCGTGGGGGTACCAGCGAGGACCTGACTCAGGCTGTGCGTGGCTTGGGTGATTCCTGGCTTGAGGCTGCACAGCTCCAGCCTCACACGGGCCCTGACTTCTGTCCAGAGCCCCTCTTTATACCAGTGTCATCACAGTGGATCAGGGCTGACCTGAAAGACTTGCTCTATTTTGGCTGAATTATGGGCTGAGACCCTGTTTCTGTAAAAGGTCATGTTAGCAGGTACTGGAGTAGGACTTCCCCTTTCTGGGCAGTGTCCCTGCCTCTACCAGACGTTTCTGAATCCCTGCTGGTCCTGGGGTGCCAGGGTCCCTCCGGGGCCTCCCTAGCACTCTCCCTGGGCCTCACACACAGACCCTGTCCCTTCTGGCTGCGGGACTTGGGTCTGGCACTGGGGTCATCTGTTTAGCAAGGGCGGCTGGGCCTGCCCTGAGGTTGGAAGTGCTGACGTATTGCAGGTGGGGTAGATGGAGGCCTGTCTCCTGGTTGCTGGGCCGGAGAGGCACCTCCCTGTGTTCTGAGCAGAGAGAAGCAAAGCCTCCCCAGGTCCTGAATGCACAGGTCCCTCTGGCTCAGACAGGCCCCCCACCCCGCCCCACTGCATGCTGTGGAGCCCTGAGGTTTGTGGAGAGCCACAGACGGGACTAGGCAGGACCCCAAGTGTATCTTTAGTTTCCAGAGAGTGGAGGTATGTGGACGGAAGTGAGGCGCAGGCACCCTCTGCTCTAACCAAGGATAAAAATACCAGTGTGAATCCACTTCCTAGAGCCGGCCCTGGGGAGTCCCAGGCCAGTGTATTTATAGTAGCATCTGTGTGGCTCCTGCAGCACATGTGGACCTGAGCCCCGCAGGATTAGACGGCTGGGCACGGTGTTCGTTTGACTCACACACTTGGTCCTGCTCTTGCCTGAGTGAGAAGCCACTTTTAGAGGCTGGTGAATGTAGATGGGCCATGCCTGCCCCTCAGGACAACCTGAGCCAGGTGCCTATACACAGTGAGGCTCAGGAAACACTAATTTCCACCTGTTCTGGGAAACGAACCTTGGCAACTGCACGCTGAGACCCCATGAGCCCTGATGAGGGGTTGCGGATCCCCATGCGCCTATGAAGGAGGCCGGGAAGGTGGCCTGGGACTTAATGAGGGAGCTGCCGGAGAGAGGAGCTGAGTGACAGTGTGGCCGGGGCACGAGTATCCAGAGGGTGGCGGGCCGGGGCACGAGTATCCAGAGAGTGGCGGGCCGGGCCCCGAGGCTCTGCTGAGGCGGGGGCTGCCTGGGGGGCTCAGGGCGCTGTCTCTCTGGCTGTCGATGCGGTGAAATTTATATAGGATGAAGTGAACTGTTTTAAAGTGTAGGCTCCTGTGACATTCAGTGCGTCTGTCCTCTGTGCAGCTGTCACCTCTGTCTAGTTTTCATGCTGAACAGAAACCCTCTAAGCACCCACCCCCCTCTCCACCCTCCCTGTGACCTCCGGCCCTCACAGCCCACTTTGTGTCTTACGATTTACCTACTGTGGATATTTCATACAAACGGCGTGGTATAGCACATGGCGTTTAGTGTTCTTTTCTTTTCCTCTTAGTGTAGTGGTTCTGAGGTTTGTCCACATTGTAGTGGACAGTCTATGGACAGACTGCACGCTCGTCCTTAGACAGATGTTTGGGTTATTTCCGCATTTTCACTCTTGAGAACTGTGCTGCTATGAAAGATACTGTATAAGTTTTTGTTTGAATACCTGTTTTCAATTCTTTGTATGTGTTCCTAGGTTTATACTTGATAGATTATGTGTTAACTCTGTGTTCATCTTTTTGAAGAATTGCCAAACTGTTTTCCTCAGTGCCTGCAACGTTACATGCCCATTGGCAGTGTACTGTGGCTCCATGTTCTGCATATTTTTTTTCCAACTCTTGTTAGTGTCCTTTTTTTTTCATTTCTTTTTTTTCCTTTTGTGAATTAAGTTGTTTTGATAACAGCCATTCTAATGGATGTGAAGCGGTACCACACTGTGGTTTTTATTTGTGTATCCTTGACAGCTAATGATGCTGAGCAGCTGTTCATGCCATCTGTGTATCTTATTTGGAGATAAGTCCTTTGCCCATTTTAAATTTGGGTTGTTTATCCCTTTGTAGCTGAGTTGTAAGAACTCTCTGTATATTCTGGATACAAGATGCTTATCAGACTTGTGATTAGCAAATATTTTTTTCTATTCTGTAGGTTCTTTTTTTTTTCACTTTCTTGAGAGGATCCTTTGAAGCACAGAAGCTTTAAGTATTTGTGAAGTGCAGTTAATTTATGTTTTATCTTACTGCCTGTGTTTTTGTTGTCATACCCAAGAAGTCATTGCTAAACCCAGTGCCAGTAAGCATGTGAAAAGATGTTCAGCATCACTAGCCATCAGGGAAGTGAGAAAACCACAGTGAGAGGGAATTCCCTGGTGATCTTATGGTTCGAACTTTGTGCTTTCACTGCCAAAGACCCAGGTTCAATCCCTGGTTGGTGAACTAAGATCCCGCAGCCCTCAAGGCTCAACCCACACAAACAAAAACAGAAATAACCCACAGCAAGATACCACTTCGCATCTATTAGAATGGCTACTATAAAAAGAAAAGAAAGAGGAAATTACTATTGGCAAGGATGTGGAGAAATTGGAGCCCTGAAGAACTGCCGTGCAGCATGTGGAGTCTTCCTGGAGCAGTGACGGGATCTGTGTGCCCTGCGTTGGGAGGTGGATTCACCACCATCAGACCACCAGGGAAACCCCTGTGATCGGTCTTTTTATTCTCTTAACAGCATCTTTCATGAGATAGACATTTTAAACTTTAATAGACAGCATCATTTTTTTTTTCTTTCATGGACTAGTGTTTGGTGTTTTATTTAAAAACTCATACCAAACCCAAGATTATATAGATTTTCTTCTATAATGGTTATGATTTTGCATTTGAAAAATTAATGTTTGCGGACCATTCTGAGTGAATTTTTGTGTGAGTTAGAGTATTTGTATCTACGTTCATTTTCCTACGTGGCTGCCAGTTGCTTCCTGGCCATTTGTGGACACACTTCCTTCCTCTATTACACACTTCCTTTCTCTCTTAAACTGTCCGTTGACTGGTCACTTGACTAGATTCACATGGGTCTATTTTTGTGCTTTCTGTTCTGTTCTATGTCTCTGCTCTCCAGCATCACACTCTTCATTTCTATCGCTTTACCATATGTTTTTGGGTTTGAACGATGGGTTTCTGTAACTTTGTTGTTTAGTCTTCTGTCATCTCCTTTAGGTTTTGAAACAGTTTGTCAAATATGTTTGGGAGGAATTTGACTGAGATTCTGTTGAATCTACAGAAAGAATGATCCTTTTAACAACGGTGAGTGCATTGCTCATGAACAAGGAAGAGCTCTGTATTTTATAGTTTGTGCTCACCTGAGTGTCACTGTTTTCTGCATGCGTGCGTATATATATTTTGTAAGCTTTATACTTCAGGGTTTTAATTTTTGTGGTGCTATTGTAACTTTTTTAGATTACAGATTCCAGGTTGTCCCGTGCATTACTGCTGATATTGCCGTGGTCCCTCTGGGCTGCTGTCACAAACTGCCACAGACAGTGGCCCATCCCATGAACAGTAGAAATCTATGTCTCATCGCTCTGGAGGCTGACAGTCAGGGTTGGGGTACCAGCCTGGCAGGGTGAGGACTCTCTTTTGGTGGCAGACTTCTCCTTGTGTCTCACGCGGAGGAGAGGGGCTGGGGACTGTCTCCTTCATAAGGGCACGAGCCCCACTCCTGGGGACCCTGCCCTCATGACCTGCCGCCCGCCAAGGGCGGCCCCGCCTACTGTGTGTGGCTCTGGGGGCACGCAAGCATTCAGACACAGCACTCTTGAAACAGAGAGTCAGTTGACTTAGGTTAACCTTTACTTTGCTTTTTGTTCTCCATTTTCCGATCAAGGCACAGGACTGGTGGGCTCTACTTCAGTTGGAATTTCTAAATTATGACGTTGAATAATCACAGCACTGAATTTCAGAAATTCACTAGGACTGTCTGAGGGGGTGAACTGGACAATTTACTATTC